GAATTGTCTGAAATTCTACAGGAGTTCCTTGTGGGTACTTTACCCCCTGAAAGAGAATTGTCTATATAGGTCCACGATATCGTATAGCCCCCATATAACTGTACACCACCCCCCCCCCCCGATATTCGGTATTTTGATGATTTTAGCCACATTTTTCAACGGAATTGTCTGCATTCCACACAAGGGGTTCATTTTGGGTATTTTACCCCCTGAAAGAAAATTTTGTAAATAGGTCCACGATATCGTATAGCCCCATATGACGGTACCCCCGGTATTCGGTATTTTGATGATTTTGCCACATTTTCCAAATGATTTGTCTCAAATTCCATACAAGGAGTTGCTTGTGGGTGTTTTACCCCCTGAAAGAGAATTGTCTATATAGGTCCACAATATCGTATATCCCCCCTACACCGGTACCCCCAAACATAGATTTGTCTATATAGGTCCACAATATCGTATATCCCCCGTATGTATCGGCACCTTCCGATTTTTAAGATTTTAACAGAATTTATAATGGATTTTATTTGTTGGAAAATTTTCCCGGCCGAACTTACCAACTACTAGAAGATACTGGTAAAAGATTGTCATCCCGAATTTTTGATCGAATTGGCCTTAATTTCATTGCAGAAATCGTTTCATACAGGATCCATTTATCAGGCATTGTGAAGATGTTGGAAACATTTTTCAGCCAGTTATTTTAAGGTTGAGGTTAACTACAATATTAAAGTTCTTCGAGGACTACACAAGAACTAACAACACCAATAAGGATTTCTTAAGATGGAGGGTTTAAACTCTATTTTTATACGTTTAAGCACAAGAAAAGATAAATAAAATTCGTTTTCCTAAGATATGGAAAATACAAATGTTTTTTCGTGGCAAGGAATACGAAAAAAATAATAGATTGATTGTAAAATAAGATATATGTATGTTTGATAAAATACATAAAAATTTTAATTATAAAAATAAATTTTATTTGAAAAATTACAAGATCGAGTATATCGAGATCGAGTATAAAGTGTATAGTGCATAATATGACTTCGGTTAGGATTATATTAACAAATATTTATGGGAGCAATAGATCGGACCGAGTTGATATATATGTATATATATATATATATATATATATATATATATATATATATATATATATACTAGCTGGCCAGGTCAGCGTTGCCGCCCGTAATTTTAGTCTCTAATGCTTATTATATCGTCCACCTTGGAAAGGAGGTTCTATTAATTTTTTCATTCCATAAAATCCCTAAGTGTTCGTCATGGACCCCATAAAATATACATATACAGGGTTGCCCATATTCGACGGACCTTTGGGCAATTTGGCCCATTCCAATCGACGAGCCTTGTCCGCAGGTAACATCCTTTGCGTCAATTGAATTTTGTACGGGAACAAATGCAAATCAATGCGAATAATCCGTTGTAAAGTGGACCGAGCCATGCCCAACTGCTGAGAACGGCGTTTTTGGGATGTTCTTGGGGACCTCTCAACACTGGCTCGTACAGCAGCGACATTCCCGGCCGATCGCCTTGGTCGACTTTTATATGGCCTCTTCGGATTAGAAAGAGCCTTACCAGTCGAAAATTTTTCGTATAAACGATTAATGGTGTTCTTAGAAGGCGCACTTCTCACATTTTTTAATGTTTTAAAAGCACGTTGAGTTTTCACAATTGATTTCTTCTGTTGAATGTAAATTTCAGAGCGCTCGCGAGGCGTGTATTGGTTCATTGTAAAAATCTGCTTGGACTGACGCTTCAAACGCGGTATGTCATTAAGCGATGTGACATTTCTGTCAAAAGTTATGGCGTTGCCAGATGGGTCCTTCGAATATGGGCAACCCTGTACATATATATATTCATAATCAGCATAAAATTCTAAGTCGATTTGTCCATCTGTATGTCTGTTTGTTTAAATTACGATACAGCCTACATTATTTAACGTAGAGCATCAAAATTTAACAGAACAATTTGTATTGTGTATAGAATGGTTGGTATTGAAAATGAGATCTATCGGTCCACGTTTTGGTATAGTCCCCATATTACGGTATCTCTCGAAATTCGGTATTTTGATGATTTTTGCCACATTTCTTCTCGGATTTGGCTAACACATATAACGATACCTACCGATATTGGGTATGTTGATAATCCTAGTCCCATTTACGCACACAATTGTTTCAAATTTGGCATTTTAGGAGGTTTGATAGATGACAATCCTTGAAGTATAAAATTGTCCACAGAGGTCCCCTTTTTGGTATGGCCCCATATAACGGCCTCATTCACTTTATGGCTTTTTAATAAGTTAACTGCATTATCCAAACAGTCTTTCTGGTATATGAAGTTTAAAGTGAAACACGCTTGAATTCAGATACTTTTATATCAAAAAGTTTCCTTTACCCTAAGGTGGATGATAATAATAGTTCTGCTCGGCCGAATTTAATTTTTTTACTTGTTTTTAAAGTAATATGTAATATTTGTCATTGAAATTGCGCGTTGGAGACCATAATGTCCATATATTTTATCATAGTATAATTCAAGGACGATTAAACAAATGACCGGTTCCTTAAATCATATGATGGTTATACAAAACGTGATCAGTTTTTGCAAGGATGGTTTCTTCCCAAATTACCAACATTTGCCGAAATTTGTGTGAAAATCTGGTTAAAATGTAAGATATACTTGAAATCGGGTTATATCCTTATCCGGGGTTATGACCCACATCATAAACTGCAAAAGCGATTTAATGTATCGTTAAAGTTTAGGAAGAATTTCTTAAGGAATAGAAATCCTTTTCCTTCTTCATTTTTGCGCACTTTATATTCGGTATTTCACTGATTGCAGTCCCAATGAATTTTGCATATTGAGTTCTCAATGGACGGATTATTGTCATGTGAACGAAGTAGGTAGGTGTTGAAATGAATCCCATAACGTTTTGACGTTTATTTTTGTTGGTTTAAATGTGTTCGCATCTTCCAGCTGAAGCACGATTTAGATCCTGGAGTTGAAAGCTAAATGCCAACTTCAGACATGAAAGTTCGCGTATTGCGTACTATTTCATTTTTGATATTATTCATTCAGAATTCAAAACAATAAAAAATGTACAATTCTAAATAGTTTTTACATTGAAAAAATTTCACGCCAAAAAGATTTTTTCATTTATATTTTTATTGGCACATTTTACGTAATTTTTTTGCCAAGATTCCATTCCGAAGTTGTATGAATTGTGAAAATCCGTCAAAATGTTCTTGAGTTTTAAGCATAGTAACTAATAAACAAATTGAAAAAAAAAATAGCTTGTTCGCTGGTTTTTTACAGCGAATGTTTAAAGATCCTTACTATAATTTTGAAATTTGATTCCATTGAAAAATGTTCTCTTTTTTCCCGATTTTAGACTATTTGCAATGCAATAGGCTCTTTTTTTGATTTTTAGCAATTTTGAAAAAAGTAATTATCTTTTAACTTTGGTTTGACCACGTTAAATTATTTTGACATCATCTATTTAGGTCCGCCGCTCTAAAATTTTCGTCGCTTTATACTACCCAAAGAGACTACACATCATATTAGAACTCAAAAAAAAAAAAAAAAAAAAAAAACACTACAAATGTACATTCCAAAATAGTAAGTCAAAATGGAAAAAATCATGCAAAATAAAACAGTACTATTGTACACCTCAAAAGTCAAAATGAAAAATGTCACATTTTTACGCGATTTTTTGGATTGTATACTTTTCTGCCAGAAGACAATTCCGAATTTGTATGAATCGTTAAAATCAGATCAGCGGTTCTTGAGTTATAAGCGTAATAACTAACACAACTTTATTTTATATATATAGATAGATTGGAAGTATGCGTGGTCAGTTCCTCAGCCCCCAAAAAAGCCCTAGGGTTGGAGGGAAAGTCAACAGTATCTCGTGTAATAATTTTCAAACCGATATCTTCTTTATCTGGCAAATATAATATTTTATTTGTAGATAGTGGGCGTAAAAGTAGGCGTGGTCAATATGACGAACGTTTGTACAAAAATTATAAAAATCGGTCCAACCGTTTTCAACTGATTCCATTACCAACGAACAACAATTGATTTATATTTCATCTCCAACGGATTATAAATGCGACCTGCATTTTGTTCACAAAAATATATGGACAGCCGGACTGACATGCATAAATTGACTCAGAAAGTGATTCTATAGGTCCTCAAAAGTAACTATGGGTCTAACTCGCTTCCTTCTCCATGTAACAAACAAATGCACCACTATGTGGCGTAGGTTATAAAAACAAAGCGACTGACTGTTTTTCCTCATTTCTTTAAAATTTTAGAAACAAAAGTAAATTCCTCATTTTTTTAAAATCTTAGAAACAAAAGTAAATCCATGGTACAAATGCAGAGTTAATCTCGTCCTGTCATATGGTTAATTTTTTTATTTATGTCCTTTCCATGGCAAAAGAATACAGGTAGATGCATCAACATTTGCGAACATTAATATGTCAATAAAAAAAAAATAATAAATAATATATATATACTTTGTCACTCATGAATATTTCGAGGAGTTACAAACGGAATCACAAAGCTAATATACCCTCCATGTAATGGCAGAGAACAAGAACCCAGACCCTGGTTGTTAATATTTTTTTCATGTGATTGCTAAATGAGTTTTGGCTTTTTTGCTTTAATTGCCGAAAAAATATACTGAAAACAAATCAGTTCCAAACAAAATATACATGCTAGTAAATATTCAAAAATTCCTGGGAGGATGAATATTCCTTTGCTATACTTTTCCAAGAGCTAACGGCTCTTTCCTATACTTGAATATTTATTAATATTTTAAATTATATTCGAGCATCACTAGTGTCCACATATGTGCAGCATGTTGTGTTAACAAAACAAAAAAAGCAAAAACACGAACAGAAAATAAAAAAAAAACAAGTGTAAACCAAAACGAATATCTAGGGAGATGACAGGTTTATCAGATGGAACGGTAACGCCGTAAGATTATCAACTCCATAGGTGATAACACAGAAGTGAAAAACACTTCGCCGAATCAACTTGAATTTCTGCCGAATACAAATCGGTGCGCATTAGGCACAGGTGTCGTATATTATACGTATCTGCTACGCGGTAGACGCTCATTTAATTACCCAGCTTCGTGGATTGCAAACGTTTCTAAGATCAAGGACGCCATCAAACATCGAATTTAAAGTGTAACGAACATTTCCAATAGTTCCGTTAAGAAAAGCGAAAGTTAAAATGTACATCCTACAAGTTTTCATAATTTCGGTTACAATATTTGCCACAATTGTCAACTGTGACCAGCCATCGTATCAGGTGTCGCTCCATGTGAACCTGCATCCCAAAGGACCGCCGGTACATTTGTGCAACGGTGAAATAATTCAAAGTCGTATTATTGTGACGACGGCTCGGTGTGTTCATTACAAATTCTCTCCTAACAGTCCTGCGGTTCCTCTGCCAGCATCTGCACTGCGAGTGATAGCAGGCAGTTCGACGGAATTTTACGACGAGCTAATAGTCGGTGTTACAGATGTGTTGGTGGCAAAGGATTTCAACTACACAACCGGCGAGAATGACTTGTCTTTACTTCGCCTGAGTAAAACATTGCCTCTGGATGTGCGGGCCGACATGAGTTGGATAACACTGGATGATGCTGCTAACTTTGAAGGACCATGTGTGGCCAATTATTATATAAGAAATGTGAGTAGAAACTGATTCTAACTACATATATAAGGGGAGGTGAGGGGGGCTTCAACGGCTTTTTATTCTAAGAACATTTCTTTCTGAGCGTATTATACATTCAGAGCAATGAGAAATATAAAGCTGACCATTATAAGGATTTTGTTCCATGATTAAACAATCATTTAGCCGGCGGAAAACCGATACGAACGTGACTACGAAAGAAAAACAGCATAGTGCATCAAAAAAAAAAAAAAAAAAAAAAAAAAAAAAAAAATGGAATGGTGTTCATCTTTTACATTTGCTATCGTATTATCATACATGCCCTTAGCGCGACGACAGTCTAAATCAAAGTTTTTGTTGTTAATTATAGATTTTGTGTTTTAAAGTGTTATAAGGGATTGAATTAGACAAATTGAAAATTAATAATTTTTGGGACTTGAAGGTGGTGATACATACACAGGATTCGGAGAGTGATATGCTGTGCAAAGATGCCAAGTTGCAATTTATCGTCACCTCAAGTGAGAATATTGGCTTTTATAAACCAAGGACCCTATATTAATTCCATGAAAATAATTTATAAATATTTTCAATTTCAAAGAACAAGAATCTAGCCACATGACAATTTGTGCGGTAGAAGTTATCTGCATTAAAAATTACATTATTTTCGCTTCTCAAATTGATAGCAAGGATATGTGCATCATCTTTCAAGCTGCTCATTTTAAGAATTTAAAAAAATATATATTTCAATCGATTTCAAATTAAAAGGATAGGTTTGAAAGGATAGAAGCAGTCAAGGTAATAGTTCAATAGAGGAAAAGGACTACTTTTTATTTGTTACTCTCCCCACAAATAAATGATGTACCCTAATAAAATAGTTAAACATATCGTAACATCTGTTGAAATTAAGACGAAGAAAATGCTTTTATGTCCACGAAACTGGAGACTTAAGACAAACTTAAGTCAGATTTTGTTATAGGAATTGTCAAGGTTTACAGCGTTACCTAAAATTCGACGTATTCGGTCGACGTTTTTCACCACACAAGCAAAACACATGTATTTATATGAATATTAACCAAATACGTCGTGCGCACAATATTTCAAAGTTGAATATTTTCAACATTGACAATTTCTTTTTTTTGTGTGTTGAAAATAGGAGTGAATGAATCAAAAATATTACGGTTGAAAATATTACAATTGAGTGAATTTTATAGCCAGTTCACAGAACCTTTGTTCAAGGCAGACAAAAAATTGCTACCCAGACAATCAAATCTTCAATTGATTTCATTTAATTTTTTCATAGAAAAATAAGTTTGCGGAACAGGCTTTTAAAAATTACCAATTTTTATAACGTTATTAGTTGTCAGATTTTTTGCGTATTTCAATAATACTGTCCATGGTAGAAGAATATAGGTAGACGCATCGACGCAGCTGCTGGGACAATGAACTGTCAAACCAATTTTGGAATTGAAAATGTTGAATGAAAAGTTATTTAAATTTGTAAAAATCGTTGAAAAACACGCATTAAAATAACCTCCACACGACGTTGTATTAGAAAACATATAAATAATTTTGACATATCAATGCTCCCAAGCGTTGATGCATTTACCTGTATTTTTCTACCATGATACTGTCATACAAAACATTTTACCATAGTGGGGAAGTTGAATACTAATTGCAACACTGCTATGGTTGCAACACCAAAATGCAGAAATTCGGAATGTATATCAATTAAATGCCTTAAAATGCCTTGCATACCAAGAAAATTGTTGTAATATGTCTTAAGTCTCCAGTTTCGTGGAATTAAGTTACATTAAAACAAATACCAATTTAATATTAAATAATTATTTCAAAGAGATAACTGAGGAATAACTCACTGAATAGTACTTATCACTTTCCAGGCCAAAAAACTGAGGATTTTTAAAACATTTATTCTGTAATGCACTGCAAAACCCCAATAGTCAAACGAATCAAATGATGCATAGCATACCTTTAGGCGGCAATATAATACAAATTATCAGTTTACTTTCTTTACGAAAAGTGTTCATTGGTAGTAGGCTTCAGCATAGAGAGAGAATATCCCAGATAAAAAGAAGGGAACTGACGAGGATTGGTGGCTCTTTTCGAAACCTAGGTATTCCCTGCCTTGCCCCCTGCTTTTATAATAACAACAATAATGGGATTAAGCCAGACTATTTTGCAACAACAAAATAAATAACTTAATCTATAGGATGAATGAAAGTATTTCGATATAAATAAGCTCCCCGAACACTGTCAAAGGAGAACTTGCATGTACACAAAATATATTTTATCTCTAAAATATACTTGGACATACTTCACAAAGTTTTGACACTCCACTTGGTTTTGTGACTTTTCGGAATCCTTTGAATTGTATTTCCTTATTCTTTGAGTAATTATTTGCTTATTTTCTTACCGTTAAGAAACTAATATATAGAATGTGAACCCAAAATCTTTGTTGAAGAAAAGTTGTTTGGATTTCGAAATTTCTTCCAAATTAGAAGGATGTACCTAAACGGTTGTGAATTATATTTTCGTGTCATAGATATGTCGCAGCATAATGTGAATTTTTACTTGAAAATAATTTTGGGCGTATTCCCTCCAAAATGATAAATCGTAGTAGGGATTGAAACTCCAAAGGAAGCTGCCAAAAACAAACCTATAGCATATTCCGAAATATGACTAGCAACGGGAACATTTAGACGAAGTAAGTTTTGGTGTTTTAGAAATGTTGATTTAGTTTGATTGGAGATTTGCACATTTCTTCATTACATTCCTTCCTTTATGGAAGGAAAATAAGTGGCTTGGGAAATTCTTTTTAAGTAGAAAATGTAAATTCACAAACAGACGTCATCGCTATTTCATGTGTTTGTAGAAGCTTTGTTGCACTATTTAGTTGCGACGTCATTAAAGGCGCGATAAGAAGACAACAGCAAAGTTAATGAGAACAAATGGATGATGCATTTTTGACATGAGCGATGACAGTTGCATGTCACACCATATAAAACTGTGATATTCTCTTATTAAATAGAAGAGATAAAACTGAAACAGAATAATTTAGAATACAAAGTATTCGCCCGTCATAAATTACATTCACAAATTAATATATGGCCGACCGATTGTTCTGTAAATAATCAAAACCGAAATTTATGGTGGTCTTGGTTACTAACTCTAACTCTACAGCACTAGATTATAGTTAATAAAAATAAAAAAAATAAGACAGCATTCTATTGAAATTTGCCTACAACATTTCTATATTTCTATATATTTTTCTATACTAAATTTTGACGTATCATGATTAAAGCATGTTTGTATTGCATCACACATCTTTTTAACATTTACGTTTGTACTGCATTGTTGAGGCTCCAACAATTTGACGGGTGACGTGTTGTCTCACTTTACATTGTTTGAACATGTGGCACTTCAAAAACAGTGCAGCGCGATGACTTATGGATATGTCCAATAAAACTGTAAACTAGTTATGACCGCATTGAAACAAAAAATCAAGTAACAATATCTGTGATTTAATAGATCCGATTATCTCTGATATTGACGGATATTCACGCGTTCAAGCCGTAAAAATTATTCTTTGATAAAAAAAAAAAACTTGAAATAATCGATGACCTCATTTTTATACCCTCCACCTTGGAAAGGAGGGTATATTAACTTTGTCATTCCGTTTGTAACATCCTTAAATATTCGTCTTAGACCCCATAAAGTTATATTCATAATCAGCGTAAAATTCTAAGTCGATTTAACGATGTCCGTCTGTCTGAAAATGAGATATATCGGTCTACGTTCTGGTATAGTCCCCGTATAACGGTATTCGGTATTTTGATGATTTATGCCACATTTTTTCACGGATTTGTCTGGAAATTGGTATTTGTAGGTCATAACGGGTCCCTGAGCGTGTGGCAAAACATTGCATGTATAGGTCCACGTTGTGGTATAGCCCCCATATAAAGGTACCTCCCGATATTCGGTATTTTAGTTTTTTTGCCACATTTTTTCACGGATTTGTCTAAAAATTGGTAGATGTGGGTCATAATGGTTTCCAGCTCCGGTGGCGAAACATTGCATGTATGGGTCCATGATTTGGTATAGCCCCCATATAACAGTACCTCCCGATATTCGGTATATCGATGGTTTTTGCCACATTTTTTCACCGATTTGTCTAAAAATTGGTATTTGTGGGTCATAATGGGTCCTTGTTCGTGTAGCGAAACATTGTAATTATAGGTCCACGTTTTGGTGTAGCCCCCATATAACGGTACCTCCCGATATTCGGCATTTTAATGGTTTTTGCCACATTTCTTCTAATGTTTCTTTTACCCAAAGGTGGAGGGTATTAAAAGTTAGGCCCGGCCGAACTTAATGTTTTTTTTACTTGTTTTTTGTAATACTATGATAAATATATGATACTAGCTGGCCCGGTCCGCGTTGCCGGTAATTTTAGTCTTTAATGCTTATTTTTTTAAGAATTATAATTCACAGATCGGGCTCTTATCAGGGGCACAATTTTGTATTATAAAAATTGATCCAACTAAATAGAAATGAATACCCATGCCAAAAATTACAATACATATCCACGTACCGGTCGATTTATTTTTCAGATATAGGCTTTAATTTGAGAGTTAGCACATCTATTAAAAAGTATACATCACCTGTTTAAAATAGTCATGTAAGAGTTCAGCTCAATTTTAAATATTGTACATTGTACAGAGTTAAGCAAATGAGCTGTAACTTGGAATTTCCGATTGCAGGCAAAATGATTTCAGAATAGTCGAAGATAATTACTCTTTTGCACCCATTAGTGGTACACCCGCTAAATCGTGAGTTAGAGTCCCCATAATGTCTATGTCTTTGATCTTAGTCAAATTCAAAGACGATAAAGACGCCAATCGGTTAAAAGCACTATAGATCGGTGGACCTGGGAGGTATTGTGATAGGGGCCTATACCAAAATATGCACCCATGTTGAAATTTTTGTAATTTTGTCTACCCCTAAAATAGCCTTAATACACATTTTAAGCCAAATCGATTGGAAAATATGGTCAAGACCCTTGAAATAGGCAAAATCAAAAGTTACCTTTTTAAGGACGCTACTCCAAAACATTGACCCAGATTGAACATCTTCTGCGAATAGGGTTTCTATCCCCTTATAAGCCAGGAAATAGCTGAAATCAGGGGACACCTTCATATGAGAGTTATACCAAAACTGTGGCCTATACTTATCATTTTTTGGAAGGATGCTTTTTTTCTTCTAAAAACCCAAATTACAAACTTTTGTCAAAATTAGTTTGAAAAATATAAAAAAATGCTTTAAGAAGTAAAATAAAACCCAAACCCCTTTGGGGATTTTGATCTACTTACCGAATACCCTGCACTTAGAATTTCGCAACCCCCTACTGTCATTATTCGGTATTGCGCATGGTCCCCCGTATAACGGTACCTGCGATTTAAGTATCCATATGAAAGAAGTAGGTCCACGTTATGATATGAGCCCCATACAGTTGTGTCAGTCATTTTTGTTCATTGCATGGTGAACGTCCTGGGGCTGGAAAGCTATATGCATATTTTTAGTCAGGAAAGATAGATATTTATAATCGTACTAGCTAACCCGGACCGCGTTAATGGCCCATAGTATTAGCGTGTAATGCATATTTTTAAGAACCTAATATAATAATGTAAATGGTTAGCTTTTCTCTTTAAAAAGCCTAAACATTGATAAACAAAGTTGGCTTGCAACAATAGTCAATGTACAAATTTGGTGGTGCTCATGCTTATTGCTGTTTTCCCTGTTTTGTGGTTTATTGTTGTATTCGTTTCTACTCATTTTTTTAGAGTGCACAATCAAATTTATGGTGAATGAAGGACATGTTGCATATACACATGTATATATGCTTTCAATTTTTCAATTTTCAATTTTGGAGTTTTCGTCGTCAGAATCGATAATAATTTCTAAATTGAATTTAACTACCATAAATAAGGTGTCATCGGTTTATAAAAGTTATAAACCCTATAAAGTATCTTAAAGAGTACAAATCTTTGTCGATTAAATTATTTCCGTGTACCTCTCCGTTCTCTATTTTCAATTACGATAGAGCCCACCAAATGTAATATGCGTCTCTCAGACTTAGCAGATATTATTCTTAGGATTATTGATGTTACAAAAGGTATATATTTGTTATCATAATTAGGGCTATATCTACCCTCATATAATATTATCTCCTAATATTCGTGGACTAAATGTGCTCCTATGTGGCATTGTATGATTTCAGTACATTTAAGTCTAGTCCTTTAACACTGATTCCCCATATAACCTGCCGGTTTGAGATATTTTGAAGGTCTCAAGACATTTTTGAGGTTATAAAACATTTGTTTTGCTGGGCCGATTTGCAAAATTTTTTATACAAACGTTAGTCATACTACCGAGTTATGTGTTTAAAGAAAAAATACTGACCACGCCTACATTACGCCCACTATTTCGATTTATCTAAAATCCTTATATTTGCTAAAATAATTAAGATATCGGTTTGAAAATTATTACACGAGATACTGTTAACTTTCCATCCAAACCTAAGCATTTAAGTATTTATTTGGGGCTGAGGAACTGACCACGACTACTTTTTGTCTATAGCTGGACGGATTTGAATATTTTTTAAATGTTCATTCTACCCCGAATTTGGTTTTATGCAAAGAAAAAGTGGCCACGCCTACTTTTTCGCACATTTTTCGATTTACCTAAAATCCTGATATTTGCCAAAATAATGAAGATATTTGTTCCATAGTTAGTATATGACGTACTCTTGACATTCCCCCTAACCCTAGGTATCTGCTTGGGTTCAGAGGAACTGGCCACACATACCTCTTTAAATGTTTATGTATAGAATTAAAAAAAACCCATAAAGAAAGTCCTAAAGTCGGACGGGGCCGATTTTATGATACCCTACGCCACTTTGCTAATTTAGTTGAGATCCACATAACAATTAAAAGTTTTTATGGGAGAATTCAATCATACACCCTATGATCATAATTATAATTTTAAATTCAAAGGACTAAATATGCCGAAGCATTTGTATCTTTTAAATTCGGACTTAATTTGAATTAATTAATTTGAAATCAGATAAAGATATATATGGGAGCTATATCCAAATCTGAACCGATCTCGATAAAATTTGGCAAACGTACTTTTCAGCTGATATATTTCCCTGAATATCGTTGTTACGGTGTGCATATTACGGCTGTGGGTAACAAATACAATAAATCGGATGAACAACATATATGGGAACTATAGCTATATCTGAACCGATCTTCACAAATTTGGCATACTACCTTCTAGACTCAATTCGGTCGTATGTGCCAAATTCCATCCCATTTGGGCAAATATTAGACGTTTGGTGCACAATAAAAGGCAAATCGGACAAAGATATATATGGGAGATATATCTAAATTTTAACCGATTATCTCCAATTTCAATAGGGTTCGTCCATATATATATGGCCAAACAAATATATATATATATATATCGACTCGGCACACCTCGTCTCATTACCACCTTCTGGTTTTCACAGAAAATTTGAGATCATTAGTATTAGAATACAACAGAATTTAAATATGCTTTCATCTTGTTTTTTTAATTTCAGTCAATATCGACGGTACCCAATTACATACAAACAGAGGAATTGCCATTGCTCGATGCAAAGAAATGTCAAAGCCACAACTTATATTCCCTAGTCAGAGATTACGACATCTGTTCCCTATACATGATCCCTCTGGGTTTAACCTGTCAAGTAAGTTCGCGATCAAATATTTTCTCGTGGGCTTCAGCATCTGAACATTTCGCATATTTACAGGCGCTCAGTACACTTGACCACCATAACGGAGACAGAGGCACTGGTTTGGTTTGTGAAAATAAACTGGTCGGCCTCCTCTCAACTATTCTTCCCAAGGAAAACTCAAGTGACACCCATTGTTCTGATGGTCCAATTAATGCTTTCTACGCCAATTTGGCACCACATTTAGGATGGATATTCGATGTAATATCCGACGAAGATCTAAAAATGTATGACAATGGAGAGTTCGTTTCCTCATTGCCCTATTCTGGCGAAAATGGATCTATAGAAGAACCCAATATATCAGGTAAGATGTTAAACAATTTTCAATTAAAGCAATCTCTTTAAATATTAAGGTATTCTTGTTACAGAGCCTGGCACAATCTCGCCATTGGTGGGCGACAATGTTACAAGCACAACCGAACCAAACGATCTACCCAACGAAGCGTCAAACCATGTCCACGGCTCTCTTACACTTGCGGTTGCAACATTTATCCTAGCATTATTTAGTATTTAACGACGCAAAGGATTCTTGATGATATATTAACTAAATATGCCAAATACAAACAGAAATAGCCAAATACATAGCCCCAGACGGCCTACCTCTTAGCTCACTAGCGTCACAGTCACAGTTATTATCTCTCAGGTGGTTGAGTAAATTCTTCGTAAACACAAACGTTTGTCTTATGATTCGTTTCGATGATGAGCGAATGCCTGGCGGGGTCTGACCTTCATTCTTGCCAAATCTTATCTCTGTTTTTCCACTTGTTCTTGCAGTTCCTCCCCAAACTATATGCTGTTTTTTATTGTCTTATTATCATCGTTTAGAAGAGAAGAAAAGGAGCATTATCGAAATGTTTATTTACCGAACGAATGGTGCTTAATTGCGCATTCTGTCACAGTAGTACGCTCGTTGTTGTGACATCTCCAACAACAATCACAGATGTCAAGCACGGTCATTCACATATCTTCGTTCATACACCGTTATCCAGTGATTAACGTATTCAGATAAAATGTTGTTTGTTGGAGAAACACACCCGAATTTGTCGAGATCGAACCTTACAATATCGTAAATAACATATTTATTGTTTACACAATTTAATAAGGTTGATTTGAAAACGATATCCTTTATCTTATCCTTTAGATACCGCAGTCTTTGATTCGGGGTCTGTTTCTGAAAGTGAATCCGACCGAAAAATATCATTCCAAATATGATTTTTAAATTTTTTATTTAATTAAAACCAAATATGATTTAATTTCAAACCATTAAAGAAAGGTCAAAAGTCGGGCTGGGCCGACTATTTGATACCCTACACCACTATGCATATTTAGTAGAGCTCCCGTAACAAAAGAATTTATATTTATTGGAATTTACGTGAAGTAGATCATACGTCGTCGTATAAAGAGATATATGGGAGCTATATCCAAATCTGAACCGATCTTTATAAAATTTGGCAGAGATAATTTTGGGCTGTATCTGATATCTGGTACCAAATATCATTGCCGTGAAGTGCGTATTACTCTTGTGAGGGACTTAAACATCAAATCAGGCAAAAGGAAACGAGATAGACCCATAGTTCCTTTTGATGATCTGCATTTGGGGTCGATTTGTGCATGTCTGTCCATGTATTTTTGTAAACAAAACACAGGTCGCATTTATTGGACGAACCCTATTGAAATTGGAAATAATTGGTCAAAAATTAGACACAGCTCCATATATATCTTCGTCTGATTTGCCTTTTATTGTGCGCCAAACGTGTAACATAAAGTTTTCATCCGATTTTTTAATTTTTTCCTCCGCAGCCGTAATATGCGCTCTATAACAATGATATTTGGGGAAATATATCAAATTGCGCTCAGAAATACATTTGCCAATTTTTATCGAGATCAATTCAGATTAAGATATAGCTTCCATTTACCAGATTTCAAGTTTATTGTGCACCAAATGGTTAATATAAGACCGAATTTAATGGAATTCTGCCTGGAAGAATTGTATATTGAATCAAATTTATAATGTGTGAAATTTGGTGAAAATCTGTTTAGATATAACTATGGGTCCCATATAAATATTTCACCCGATTCAGCTTTTAAGACTCTCGCATCCGTAACGTGCTCTCCAAAACAACAACATTCGATACCAGCTATCAGATACAACATAGAAATACATTTGGTTAATTTTATAGAGATCGGTTCAGATTTCGATATAGCTAAAAATTGCATTTCAGAAATGATCATAGTTGGAACGATTTAATTCTCATAAATGCCGTAGCTCTACTAAATATAGAGTGATGATTAGTGTAGAGTTGCTACTGCTTCATATTTGCTTTTTCGAATTAAAAATAAAATGATTCGGATTACAAGTGAAATAATTCGAATTTCCAATGGAATAATTCGTATACAAATAGAAAAAAGTTGAATTATTAATGGAATTCTCGAATTTCAATTAAAATTTTTACGAATTACAAATGAAATTCTCAAATTACAATTGAAATGTTTTAAACTAATAATGGAATTCTCGATTAACAAATGAACTGTTACGAATTACAATTAAAATGTTTCGAATTACATCTGAAAAAGGTGTAGAGGTCATAAGTTTCAAAGTAAGCTCTATAATTTTGTGAAGTGTTTGAAATGGACAGATATTATATTTGCTTATTCTATATCTTGAAGTTTCTGCACAAAACACACAAATGCTATGATGCAGCATCATGTAGTCGCTACGCTTATTTATACGGGAACCAATTCAAATATATAAAATCAATCAAATTACTGACTGAATTATTAACACCCGGGTGAAACGGTTGAAGCTAGAATCTTGAAAATTTGCATGTGGTTCAATGTTGGTGGGTAGGGGTGAGTTAAGGCTGGGTTTTGGAAATTCGGAATAAAAATGTACTAAAAAGCACTAAATTTCATGTTTGATATTTTGTGAACGAATGCAGCTGAAATCTTGATACTATATATATAAAAATCAATTGTTGTTCGTTGGTAATGGAATCAGTTGAAAACGGCTGGACCGATTTTCATAATTTTTTGTACAAACGTTCGTCATGCCCCGAGTCAGGTTTTTAAGTTTTAAGAAAACAAGTAAAAAAGCTGTAAGTTATATCGAACTTCACGAACTTCAAATGCGAAATTTGAAACAATTCCGATAAATAATGTCGCTAAAATCATCAAAATACCGAATATCGGAGTGTACCGTTATATGGGGGCTATACGAAGAAGTAGACCTGCACAGACAATTTTCTGTCATAGGCTGTAGTATTCATTACGAACTTCAAATGCGAAATTTGAAACAATTCCGGTAAATAATGTCGCTAAAATCATGAAAATACTGAATATTGGGGGGTACCGTTATATGGGGGCTATACGAAGACGTAGACCTACATGGCTTATTTTCTGACTTAGGATGTAGTATCCATTACGAACTTCAAATACCAAATTTGAAGCAATTCCGGTAAATAATGTGGCTAAAATGATCAAAATACCGAATATCGGGGGGTACCGTTACATGGGGGCTATACGAAGACGTGGACCTACATTGCCCATTTTCTGTTTTATGTTGTAGTATCTATTAAAAACTTTAAATACCAAATTTGAAACAATTCCGGTAAATAATGTATCTAAAATCATCAAAATACCGAATATCGGGAGGTACAGTTATATGGGGGCTATCCGAAGACGTGGACCTATATGGCCCATTTTCAATACCAAAAGTCCTGCAGACATAGTACACATTTGAGTAAAATTTTATCAACCTACTTCATTTCGTTCGGAAGCTAGAGTGATTTCCACAGACGGATAGACGGACGGACATTGATTAATCGACATAGAATTTTATGCTGATCAAGAATATATTACTTTGTGGGGTCTAAAATGTATATTTCGAGGTGTTACAAACGGAATGACAAACTTAATATAGCCTCCATACTATGGTGGAGGGTATAAAAATATTGACCACGCCTACTTTTACGCCCACTATCTTGATTTATCTATTTGCCAGATAAAGAAGATATCGGATTGAAAATTATTACACGAGATACTGTTGACTTTCCCTCCAACCCTAGGGATTTTTTATGACCACGCATACTTCCAATCTATCTATATACATAAAATAAAGTTGTGTTATTTACTACGATTATAACTCAAGAACCGCTGATCTGATTTTAACGATTCATACAAATTCGGAATTGTCTCTTGGCAGAAAAGTATAAAATCCAAAAAAAAAAACGTGTAAAAATGTGAAATTTGAAAATTTTCATTTTGACTTTTGAGGTGTACAATAGTAATGTTTTATTTTGCATGATTTTTTTCCATTTTGACTTACTATTTTGGAATGTACATTTGTAGTGTTTTTTTTTTGGAGTTCTAAAATGATGTGTAGTCTCTTTGGGTAGTATAAACAAAGACCTAAAATGGTAAAGACTAGACAAAATGCATTTTGAGCAAATGGTTTGTGTCTACAATACATAGAGTAACAGCAAAGACCTAAAATGGTAAAGACTAGACAAAATGCATTCTGAGCAAATGGTTTGTGACTATACTACCTTGAATAACAGCTCATGGCATAGGCATGTTAATATAAAAAATACAATTATAGGAAAGAATGACAAATAAAAGTTTGGATAATCCAAAATATTGGTTTCAAAATTCTATTCCATATACCTTCACAAATAATTGCATATGGCCTTAGCGGTTGAAATTGCTTAACATTTGTAACTATGTTGCTACGATATCATAACAACAGAGGTCTTTTTCACAGGGTTGCCATATTTTACTCTGTCTTGTCCTATCTTTATACTTCTATGTCTTTGGTAACAGCTCATGGCAGAGACATGTTAATATAAAAACCACTATTACAGAAACGGATATCAAATAAAAATTTGAAAAAATCCAAAATTTTGGTTTCAAAATTCTATTCCATGGACCTTTCCGAAAATTTGCACATTGCTTTGGCGGTTTAAATCAGTTAACATTTGTAATTATGTTGTTATGATATCGTAACAACAGAGGTATTTTCACAGGGTTACCATATCTTGACTCTGTCTTGTCCTATCTTTACACTTCTATGTCTTTGGTATAAAGCGACGAAAATTTTAAAGCGGCGGACCTAAATAGATGATGTCAAAATAATTTAACGTGGTCAAACCAAAGTTAAAAGATAATTACTTTTTTCAAAATTGCTAAAAATCAACAAAGAGCCTATTGCATTGCAAATACTCTAAAATCGGGAAAAAGGAGAACATTTTTCAATGGAACCAAATTTCAAAATTATAGTAAGGACCTTTAAACATTCGCTGTAAAAAACCAGCGAACAAGCTATTTTTTTCAATTTGTTTATTAGTTACTATGCTTAAAACTCAAGAACGTTTTGACGGATTTTCACAATTCATACAACTTTGAAATGGAATCTTGGCAAAAAAATGCGTAAAATATGCCAATAAAAATATAAATGAAAAAATCTTTTTGGCGTGAAATTTTTTCAATGTAAAAACTATTTAGAATTGTACATTTTTTATTGTCTTGAATTCTGAATGAATAATGTCAAAAATGAAATAGTACGCAATACGATGTTAAATGGCGAGCTTTCATTTCTGAAGTTAGCATTTAGCTTTCAA